AAAACTCAACATGTAAATTTCCCAATGCTTGAGTCCCTTTAACATTTCCTTCCGTTCATAATACCCTGCAGAAATCTAATCCCTGTGGGATGTTTCCCATATCTGTTTTTCATTGTAGTTCTTTCACTTCCCCGGTAACATTCTTAAGAAAACCAAAACCATACAATCAGATATGTGAGTGAAACAGCTGCAATGATTTTCATTAATAGATACACTTAGTAAACAACTGTACTAGCTTACACATAAAACAGAACTCTCAGGCGCTGCTCTGAGGCAAACCTTGGCAACGTGTTGGTTTTAGCAGCCAATGCCATAAATAAAGACTAATCTGATGCAAAAGGTTATATCCTATCCAAAATTATCAAGCTATCCATGATCTTGATGCAAATCCAGTCCTCTTACTATATGCAATTTTATTAAACTGTTACAATTGTCATAGCCACAATATTCCATGATAATGAAAAATGTGTTTCAGCAATGCTGCTATTTTACTTTCAGCATGAATATTCTGGTGAACTACGAGAACTGGATATAGTGTAGTGTCTGACAGTAATATGCACGTTTATTTGCAAACATTAAAAGGTGTGACATTTCTTTTATTCGCACCAGGAATGATTTCTGTGGGATAAAGGAAGCAATAAAATATTCCCCTGTAAGCAGAAAAAGAAGATATTATCACTATCTAATTTTCACTGTATTTCAACTTGTATTACACAACACTCACTACTTTTAAGCCTATTTCTTTCATTTAATATGATATTGTAGAGGCAGTATCTTCTTTGCAGATGGCTTGTCTTCAGTAGCTGAAATGCATTGCTTTTAGTGAATTTGGAAGACAAAAATCTTTCCATCACAGGGTGACATCAAAAGGGCTCCAAACAATTAGGAATACTTTAAGTAATGAGAATGAGCAGTTTCTTTCAACAAACTAGTACAAAGCCATATTTTTTTTTTATTACCTATGATGTCTGTTCATAATACTTAACATCTGCAGGACAAAGAAAATCCCACACTGTGCATATCCACTATGTTATAGTATTCAGTATCTCATATTCCCATCCTGACTTCCCCAACTTCCCAGATACCATTGTTCAAAACTTAACTTACTTATCTCACTGCAAATCAGTTCTGTGAAGATTAAACAATGTTTGCAAAGCTCTAGACAGCTGCTGAATAAGCTATGGTAATTTTTCATCAAAGTTATTTTAAGTTTTACTATGCTGTATTATACTACAGTTGATTAAATTAAATGTTAACTTCATAAAACAAATAACACAAATTTCCAGAGTGACTCTATCAAATCTAATTGTCAACAATATATATTTGATTGTTCGTAAAGAAAAAAGTATGTAAAGTGGTGGTTATTATACTTTTCCATACAGCATATACATTTTCTTAATTAACTCAAGCACATGTGAAGATGTACTAGATGAAAATAAGAAGCAACTTCTAACCAAATCCTTCTGACATCTGCGCCATTAAGTTTTTAAATCTTAGAATCATAGAATCATAGAATCATTGAGGTTGGAAAAGACCTCTAAGATCATCGAGTCCAACCGTTAACCTAGCACTGCCAAGTCCACCACTAAACCATGTCCCTAAGTGCCACATCTACACGTCTTCTAAATACCTCCAGGGATGGGGACTCAACCGCTTCCCTGGGCAGCCTCTTCCAATGCTTGACAACCCTTTCAATGAAGAAATTTTTCCTAATATCCAATCTCAACCTCCCCTGGCGTAACTTGAGGCCACTTCCTCTCATTTTGTCACTTGTTACTTGGGAGAAGAGACCAACACCCACCTTGCTACAACCACCTTTCAGGTAGTTGTAGAGAGCGATGAGGTCTCCCCTGAGCCTCTTTTTCTCCAGGCTGAACAACCCCAGTTCCCTCAGCCGCTCCTCATAAGACTTGTTCTCCAGACCCCTCACCAGCCGCGTTGCCCTTCCCTGGACACGCTCCAGCACCTCAACGTCCTTCTTGTAGTGAGGAGCCCAAAACTGAACACAGTATTCGAGGTGCAGCCTCACCAGTGCCGAGTACAGGGGCACGATCACTTCCCTACTCAATTTCATGTCTATACTCTATCATCTTATCATGGTTTATACTTTTAATTTCACACCATGACTGTAACTTGGACAAAATGATGAGCATAGACCTAATTTGCAGGATTGCAGACTGTTATAAAACATTTTCAGAGAGAAATATTTTTCTGCCATTTCTCAAAATGCTATGCTTATAGATGCCTTGCTCTTCTTGGCATATGATCCAGCCTTCCAGGTCCCTCTGCAGAGCCTTCCTACCCTCAAGCAGATCAACAGTTCCACCCAACTTGGTGTCTTTTGCACAATGTGCTCTTAAAACAATGTCCAAAACCATTTCCAGTCTACTAAAGTGAGTAGAGTGATTAATTAATAATTGTTCACTAATTAGCCTGAATCCCATAAATGGTATGCATTCCTTCTCTTTCAACAGCAAAAATCAGTGTGGCCCATCTTACGTGAGCTGTCCTGAAATAATTATGATTCTCTGCAAATGAAAGAAGTTAACTCTTTCTTCCTTCTTGTTTAGGCTCAAAAGGAACACCAGAAAGAGAAATCGGGTTGTTTTTCTCTCCAGCTATTGGCATAGGCTGATCTATAGATTCAAGTTCTTTTCTGATTGATGGAGTTGGGGGAAAATGCATAAAATAGGTGTACTGACATGGTAGTTAATGCATCCCTAAGTAATGTCAATGACACAGTAGTTCTAATGCTCCAGTGCCAGGGGAAAGGATGTTTTTCTTCAAGTCTCCTACAGCATTGAGGGTTCCGGTATTCATACTTTTATTATCCTCAGGATCGTAAATCTTTCTTAAAATGAACAACACAGGAATAACAATAGAATTCTAATGGATTAAACTAGCTAGAAGACTAAAAATGTTATGTCTCCAGTCCTTATCCACTTTCTCTGTGTCACTCGGGATTTTTTAGACTTCTTTGGTATTCTCCCTCAGTTGTCTTTAATGAACTTAAGCTGCCTAATGCCTTTATCTTCTTTATATCTCTTCTCTAAAAAAAATTCCAATTTTACTTTCTCTATTTTGAGATTGAGAGGGAGTCAAAAGCAGAGAAATAAACAGAACTGCGTATGTTATTCAAGATTTTAGAGAATCCCACTTTTATCAGTGTCATAGAGATGTCTTCTATTCCTTCCTGGTCAGAGAGGAGCTTACACTTGCTTTTAGCTTCGATAAGCATGGTTTGGTTTTATGTTGTTCCCTTTTTGGGTGATAAGCACAACTGCAGTGAATTACTGGCTTTTGTTCCTTGTGTTAGTTTGCATTGTCTTACTGCGTGGTCTGGAGCTTGAGCCTGGTTTACCATGCTGGAAAAAAATTTGACAGCAGTGATAGCTGAAATGCAGCAACAAACTAGGGTCTTTCTCACTGACTACTCACTGCCACATCTGAGGCAGCAAGGCACAATATAATGGATACAGTCACCACTACAGCTTCCCATAGAAGCTAAGGGTCCAGCTGTAGTTGCCCTGCAAAAGTGCTTCACTTAGCTATGTTTGGACAGATCTAGCTATAAAAGGCTTATTCCAGTAAAAGGCTTTTGTTCCTTCTGTACCCCTCCACAAACTTTTTAGAGAGTCATTTACTCTTGAGAGACAAGCAGACAGCTAGCTCTCTTTCTTCTTGCTGGACTAGAGGACTTGGACCTACTTTAATCTGTCTAATAGGAACTAGGTACCTGGAGAGCTCACTAGGACTCATGCCTAATGTTCCTATAAAATGAAACCAAAACTTTCTCTTCTAAGTTCTTAAAAGGTTGTGGATTCTAACAGCACAGACTTGTGGTCATTAGATACATCTATGTACATTTGCTTGGTTAAAATAAAACAACGAAACACATGCAAATCACCATTGCCCTTGTGCAAAGAATCTTTTTTTCAGAAGTATTTGAAAAGGATCCACTTTTTATTAGTGATTCAGATTCCCAGTTTAACTTAGTAACAAGATTAGTGCACCCTGGTAATCTATAACAGATGTCTCAACTGTATTTAGAGAGCTGTTCTAGAAATCTCAACTAAACCAAAAAGTGACTCTCTCTTTTTTCTGCCTTTTTTTTTTTTTTTTGGAAGCACAGATGTCCTTCTCTCAAAATTAAGTACAGTTGATTTTGGTAGCTCATAATTTGGTAGGTCAGAATTACTTTGTTCAGCTTCACAAAACTGAATCATGTCATAGAGTCACCAATGAGTTTGATTATAAGGCCTGCTGCACTTTGGTTTGCACGTCTATTTCCAGACAACACCAGGTGCTTTTTCCCCTTTGTTTTCCTGTAAGATGTCCAAATGTGATTGCTTTGGTCAGCCTTCCTGTGGATTCTTACAATGGTGAGTATTTATGTTATTCCAAAACATACATTTGCCTTTCCCATTACGTTGCCATGACAGGAAACAAACATAATCTGGAAACAAAGAACATGGAAAATCTACTACCTACCTCATTTTCCTTTCATTTTATCCTCTTTCAGTTGCAAGTATTGTTACTTTTACAGGAATAATATATCCTATTATGAGTTGCAAGTCAGTGACAGCAGTAAAAGTCATAGTGCTGCTTCTGCCTATCTATTTTCCAAGATTTTTCTATTAGTCACACCCTCATTGTCAGAAATTCAGCTGTTTCCTGCACTAAGTAGCTTGGACCTACTGCACAGTAGCTTCCCTGCCTGAATATTTATCTTTGCTATGGTACATGATTTCAATGAGAATAAATTTATTTCCATTGAGCACTTCAATGATGTGATGAGCACTGTCCAACTGCACTATAGTTTCAAACATTCTTTCCAAGGATGTGTTGTAGTCCACACTGCCATAACATGATTTTACTGCACACGTTCAGGTATCACTCATAGCTAATGAGATATAATATCATTGGAATTTACTAACTATCCAACCTAGATGATCTTTGAAGCAATTATAAACACAGACAACAGTAAAAAGAAAACTTACCTAATTTGCACTTCATGCCAGTGTCCATCATCCACTCTAGCAGTAGTAGTGATGTTTTTGACTTCTGCTGCTTCATCACATAAAAACTGGTACTACAGAGTGGGAAAAATGCTTTTATTACATAATTTCTAATAATTAAACAGTTACAGGCTTGGAAACTTGAATTTAAAAATAACAAATGGTTTCATGAAAACCTGAATGTGTATCAAGGAAAACTAATGTTTCACTAATGATCTGGATCAGGAAATCTATTGTACCAGAAATATACAAGCACACATATATGCTTCCTAGCTGGCATGAAAATGCTTTAACTTTTGCGTATTGTACAATCAGATATTATGGGCCTGATTTGCAAAGAAGTTGACCATCTGCAACCCAGCTGAAATGAACATTGGCAACGGGTGAATTTTACTTACCATTTTATGGCCTCCTTACACTTCCAAACACGTAATGTAGCATGCAGGCTTGAGCATTTTGGAACACCATTTAATTTCCTATACTAATGTGAACAAGCACTTGATTTCACGGTTTGTCTACTTGTAATTGTAGCTTGATTGTGAGCTTAGAACCATTTGTTCATTGGGCTTTAAATCTACCTTTAATTGACCAGCTTTGTGAATGATTAAGTGAATTCAATTAGTTTTAACATGGCACACTGGGATCGCTGAATAGATTTTTGTCAATTAAAGTACTTTCATATTTTATGGTGCTTATGATATGTTAGAAAAATATTTTTCTGCATCATTACTTTACCATGGATACAAGTAAGATGGACTTAAAGCCATCAACATTTTCTAAACCTTGGATAACTTCCTGACCCTGACTAATCTCATTTGTTCTGGATAAAGAGAGTCACAATATTATGAAACACAGTAAATCACAATATAACAAAATAAAGTAAAAGGTTATTTTCTTTTTCTGTTTATCTGCAATTTATATATCTTAAATACATCTTTAGAGATCTTTTTAGTATGATCTTTAAACATGAAGGCAAATAGAACTCAAATACATTGTTCCTAACAGTCATTTCACAATCCTTGCAGAAGAATATAATTACAGCCAAACTTCTGGAAATTTTTAACAGGAAAATGGAAGATCCATTATGAGAAAAGTAACTTCTCTCTTACTATCTTTTTATAGCCTCTTTAGTATCTGCCCATCTCTTCATAAAGCTCAAGCTTTATCTCTTCCTCAGAAAAGAAGGAATAATTTGCCAAAGGTAAAGATATACTGGGATACACACTTTACTTCCTAATGTTTAAAACAAATGTATTCCTGTTTAGTTTTTCCATGAAAGCTAAGCAAATGTTTTTTGGGATCCTGTGGAACTCTGAATTAACATGATCAAGTAAAAGGTTTCTACTCAGAGCTACAAGGTAACAAAGACACACTCTATTCCCTTACACAGTAAATTTTCCTATGACAATTCACTCAGTTCCACAGCCTCCCTTATAACAATTTTAATGAACTTGCACATGAGGAGGTTCAGTAGGTTTAGGCTTCGTATATAAAATAGAATACCTTAATTCGTACCAGTTGTAAAGACAAAAACTACATTCTTTATTTTTGTCTTTTAATATCTACTTTTTATATGAGGCATTCCAGTTATAATCACTATTCAATTTTCCTCAAGCACCACCTCTTGTGAGACATATTAATCATATTAGCCATGAATTTGCCCTAACAGATAGCAAGTTTGACAACTATTTTCCTTAAAATACTAAAGAATCTCAAGACTCTGTATCTCTATCTACTATCTTCTACAGTAGGAAACAGAAAAAAATATTAAAATTTTTACAGATCCTAACTTTTATTTACTTCTCCTTCAGTGGGAGATTTTGATGCCTTACCTGTAAGGTGCCATGTTTAATGAAAAGCTGAATTAAAAAATGTCCTGTTGTTTCTGGGCTCTGTTCAATATACAGGAGGAGTCCATGAGGATTATAGGTCTTAAATTCCAAGTGGATGAAGTTTTGCATGTTCAAATGCAAGCCTTGAAATTCCAGGTAAGAATCACCATAATAGCGAGCATAACTAAAATCTGTAAATAGAATTTTGAGACATATAAGGATACAAAGACATTTTTCTTCTTCACCCACTAATGGTAGCAAAGATATAGGATACTCTTTTATGTCTGTCAAGGAGAGAGACATGAATCTGAAAATTGATGTTAGTTTTCTTCTGTCAAAGACTAACACTGAGAATTTATAAAGCTAGACATAAACATTTAGATCAAATTATATTAAGCAGACTAGGATCAATGCCTGAAAGAAAAGGCTATGAAGATGATAGCACTTGGAACATATCTAGCAGCTTTGGCTCCCCATAAGTCAAGAACAGTTTTTTCAAAGTTAGGTGTTCACATAGTTTTTGATGCAAGGATGAACAAGTTTGAAGTCTTTGCAGAAACAACACAGTATGGAAAGGGAGGAAGACATTCCATAACCTAATTATGAAATTGCCATCTTAATCAAATATGTCAACTATTTCTGTCTAAAATAAACAACAGGATGTTGCTAGGGTGCAGGCTAAAAAATTCCCTTCTGACTACATCTATCTTGTCTGATTGATTTATCTAGACCCCTCTTAACCTCCAGCACCCTGTGCCATACCTGGAAAGGGCAGATGCAGCTCTTACTTAAATGGAAAAAGTATGTGAATACATGGCTGCAAGCCCATCAGATGACAGAGGAGTACACTTAAAAAGGGTTTATTTTTCTCCCTCCCCCTCCCCTCCCCCCTCTCCCCTCTCCTCTCCTCTCCACTCCTCTCCTCTCCTCTCCTCTCCTCCCCTCTCCTCTCCTCCCCTCCCCCCTCTCCCCTCTCCTCTCCTCCCCTCTCCTCTCCTCTCCTCTCCTCTCCCCTCTCCTCTCCTCTCCCCTCTCCCCCTCCCCCCTCTCCCCTCTCCTCTCCTCCCCTCCCCCCTCTCCCCTCTCCTCTCCTTCCTTCCTCTCTTTCTTTTTCTTTCTTTTTCTTTCTTTCTTTCTTTTTCTTTCTTTTTCTTTCTTTCTTTCTTTCTTTTTCTTTCTTTTTCTTTCTTTTTCTTTCTTTTTCTTTCTTTCTTTCCTTCTTTCTTTTTTCTCTTTTCTCTTTTTTCTTAATTTATCTTTCTTTTTCTTTCTATTTTTCTTTTCCTTCTTTCTTTTGTTTCTCTTTCCCTCCCTTCCTTCCTCCCTTCCTCTCTTCTTTTTCCCCTTCCCTTCCCTTCCCTTCCCTTCCCCCCCTCCCTCCTTTCCTCCCCCTCC